TTTCCTACATATTTTACTTTGCTTCTGAAATTGCTTTGCCTGTACTTTGGAATGCTGTTGTTAAGATTAATGATACCTTTATGGACTAAAGGTTTAGCTATATAAGACCATATAATACATGTTTTTCTGGCCTGATATATTTACAGAGTAAAGGCAATGCTATGCAGGATGCTGGGTCTCCACTGTAGAAAATCACATAACTCATGGAAAACAATTTGTTAAAGTTAATATTAACAAGCTAAATATGGAAGTTCTGGAAATAAAGGTTCTCAAGAGTGTCTTTACTCAAGCCTAGTGTGGATGAATGGGGTAGACTTTGTGCTATCAATATTTTACAGTAAAAGGATTTTAAACTCTATTTCTGAGCTATTGTTCTAGGGGAAGTTCTTCTACAATGGCTTTAACATGATTAAGACAAACCTCTGGTTCTGTAAGATTTGTCTGAAGAAGTACTTTATTTCAATATTATATTGCTGGGGTCCAGGTATTATGAGACCAGAGTTATGATGAAATTTGCTCTTATGTAAGTTCACATTTTTCACAGTTTTTTGTCTTCATGTATAATATATATTGCTGGTTTATCTTTTTTTTCCCACCAGACAGTTGAACATGGTTTTCCTCACCAGCCAAGTGCTCTGGGCTACAGTTCTTTTCTTCACCTTATGGCTATTGGGACCCGGGCAGGAGCCATCAAAATGTATCCTTTCAGTTATTTATTTCTGAGATAGTAGGTTAGTTACACACTTTGTAGATATAACACTTTAGACCAGAATCCTCAAAGATGCTATGGAGCCCAGAAATAATATTTATCTATAATTCTTTAAAGCAACTGTGGCTTTTCCAGGGATTGTGTGGTAGCAGAACTCCTATGAAACACTTAAAAAAACTTCAGTCAAAGCACTGCACAGCCCTCATTCTCATTCTATAGACAGAACTTTATTCAAAAAATGCCTGCACATTATCTATATTAGACTATAAGAACAATAGTTCAATTAAGGTATTTGGTCTTCCTAAATATAGAACAGATTTCCCAATTCTGTTCACAGTTTCCCTACCAGCAGGCTAAAGTGGATATAATCAGAATTCAAATTATACTTTCTGGTCTTGTTCTTCCTCATCATATAAAGTATAATTGTGAACATGAATGGTACTAAGGTTATCTCTGTATTGCAAAATGGGTTGGGAGAGTAGAATGGAATAAATGCTAGCTTGCTTTAAGTTGGTTGTCTTTGAAATGGTGATAAGACTTGAACCAGGATAACTTAATCACTTTAGAATGGAGTCCTAGGACCTCATATTGTGCTACATTAAGCTAGTTTCTCTCATGGATAATGGAAAGTGTAAATTCTTGTTTAGAGATTCAAAAATACTGAACTAAAAAAAGGGGCTACTTTAAAATTGCTTCTCTGACATTTACCCCAATATATAAAATGCAATCCTTATCTCTGCGCCATGAAGCCAGTTAAATGTAGAAGAGTGGAGGAAATGGACCGCAAATAGTCTAAAAGCTTTTCCACATAATTGTCATTTTAATTGGCGTCTCTTTTGGAAATCATTTATATAATTGTATCATCTGCATACCTGGATTTATGGATTGAAACAGGAGCCACCTTGGGAACAAATAAGTTCCAGTCAATTCCATCTTGGTCATTTCTTTAAAAGGTGTATATGATCAAAAATTTAAATCTTAAAACCTGGTAGAAAGTAAAAGGAAAGGGTCCTTTACCAGGGGATATAAAATCAAGGAGTAAATTGCTATATTTCTGCTGTCTTCTCTTCAGATTAATGGAAATACTCAACTATTTAAACATATAAAAATGTTATTAGAAGAAGTGTGGTCAGCCTAGAGAATTACAACAAAGAATTACTGTTTTCCTAAAATATAACTAATTGGTCACGCTACATGTCAGTTGTAATAATTCAATGCTATTGACCTCAATAGTGGTTCAGTTATGGTACTCCAGGAGTGGAATTCATGGGCTTGCATGAAGAGACCAACACTGTCATGCAGATACATTTCATTCCTGAACAGGTGAGTAAAACTAATGCAACCAAATCTGGCTTCCGCAGAGATAATGCAATTACTCCATATTAAAATGAAATTATTTTTAATGTAACCTGCTGTAGCACTGATGCAGCTGGTAACTCAGTATGATTCCTGAAGTGTTTGTGAACTGAAGTTTCATTTTATTCCCAGTTCCCCAATCCTACATATTAATTTAAAGAAAGACTTTGATTTTGGATCTTGGTTCCAGTAGAAGCTGTCAGAGGGAGGATTCCAGCTTTGTGATCTTCTTCCTTAAGTGTTTTGTTGCCAGTTTCTTGGGACACCAAGGAGACTGGGAGGAAGGCTTTGAGAATCATGAACTGTCCTGTCTCCATTCCATTTAATCATCCTGAAGATAATTCAGACTCCTTGTCCTATAGTTGCCAAAGTAGAAAAGGGAGATCAAATAGAGTGCTTGCTACTTCCTGAAAATTGTTCTGTACAATTCAGTTAGTGTCTTATGACACTCTTTTGAGATTAATGCTTTTATGATGGCCTAAAACTAGCTAGTAAACTAGCTCGGAGTCACTTAATAAAGAGATGGATGGCATACAAATTTAATAAATAAATAAAACTAGAGCTTGAACTTACCCAATGGCAATTACAGTATTCTGTCCTCAAATGTGATAGAGTTCTGCAGTAGATTGAACATGCTGTTTGGTTAAATTTGTTCAGCTAGTGGAACATATTAATCTGAGCAATTCGTTAATATGTGGCTTATGGTATACAGATAAACCTTGCTTAATTTCCATTCAAAGTGATGATAAACACTGAATGAAGGGACTTATGATCAGTCATTGAAGTTCTGGCCATTGTAGTGTCTGTGAAGTCAGGCCCACCTACCCTTATGTCTGCTTACCCACTGCCACTAGCTGTCCTTGCCTAGTCCTGCGTCCCACGGTACCGCACAACAGTACTGCACCAGTTGTGATCTTCCTTCATATCATCTTCTTTCACATTAATGCAGCTGGGCCTTCTCTGGTGCCCCATCCGGGACTACTGTATGCCAGCCAGATTCTCCTTTCATGTTCTACCAAGCGCTTGTTTTTGCCAAAGACGTCCGGTGCATGAAAGAAGGCCTCAGCTTCTGGGTCCTTTTGTACCAGTACAGTCAGCTTTTCTTTTATGTGCCTGACTTTTTTTGTGAATGAAGACCCTGGGTGAAGCAGAATGGAGGCCCCAGAAGGGATGTGAAAGAAACGCTGTCTGCACCAGTCTGAAACAAGAGCCAGGCCAATATAGTAATGGTGCATAGTGTGACATCAGGGCTAAGTGTCATGGGTCGGCAAGCAGCCAAAAGGACAGGATGGGGCGGGAAGAAAGGCACGTGGGTGAAATTCAAAAGGAGGCAGAACCTTATCAAGGCTTGGGGCTGGGAGGGACCAAGGCAGGAATAGTTTGGATCAGGGTGGGTCCCCACTAAACAATTTGTGGGAGTCAGTTAATGACAGCAACAGGGACTGCCATGATTGCCATTATTAAGCAATGTTAACTAAGGACTACCTATATATCAGATGTATGATGAGAGGAAGAAAATCACAGACCTCTTATTTTCTGTATGGGACCCTCCTCTGGATTAGGACTTTTCGGTTTGTGGGAGAAGGAAATGATGTAAACATTTTCCCCAGTAACTTGCAGCCTGAAACTTCCTGCATAATTTTTTTTTAAAGCAACCATTAGTGCTAACAAAGGTTATCTTTTCTTAACCTTTATGTTTGGACAAGAGCAGAACAGGATGACAAGAGCTAAACATTTAAAAAGGCTAAATACTAGGGCTATACACTGATCTGAATTCAAAGGGTGATTCAGAATGTACATGGCTGTATGCACTACAAATTGTTAAAATAAGCGAATTTTTTTCATTAGATTGTGTGTTTTCAGGTTGATTTAAAAAATTGCCAACAGGTACCACACACTCCAAATTCCCTTTTCCCCTTTGAATCTGTTTTGCTCCACAATTCACTTAAATATCTTAAGTGCTGTGCTATGTTGAAGCATTATGTACTCACCTGGGAATAAAAAGAGAAAGCAAAGCGCTATATATTTAATGTATCATGTAATTTCTGTCAACATAGTTCTTATTTTGAAACAAGGTGTGTACCTATTGAGTGAAAGTCCCTTTCATATTAGGAAAAAGACCCTGCGTTTTGGAGTACTTCATATTCCATTTGTTTTTTAGAAATTTGGATCTGATTCCAATGCTTCAATCAGGAAATATCTATAGGAAAATTGGTATACTCAGCTGAGTGTCAGTATGGTGTTCAGAATATTTGATTTTAAATCTAAATTGTGGTTAGGGATGGGCTTTAACAAATACTCTGGGGCATCACTTTTAAGAATTAACACATATCCAAGGAATGCAAAAAGGAAAAAGGAGATTTAAAAATGTCACTTCATAAAAAGGTGTGTGTTTGTTTAATTCAGACATCAGGAATTCAGATTATCAGCTAGGTAAAATTTATCCCTGGAAGCAGGTAGCTCACATAACTTTGGGTTAACCGACCTAAAACACAATTTGTGTGAGTTCTTATTGTTGTGTAACACTAATGCTTAAATACTATGAAAAGCCCAGAAATAGTTTTGAGTGCTTAGACTTGATGGACAGAATATTAAGGAAGTACAAGAAATGGAATATTACTGGAATAGGTTTGAGAACATCGTGCAGGGTAAAGGTTTATGGTTATTGGTGGTTTGTTCTCTGAGCTTGTTCTTTAGATTCCAAACATTTCATCACTAGGCTAGGTAATATCATCAGTGGAACCAAAAACAACATCCACCACCCAAGCTACAAATATTTTCCACCATATCTAAAAGTTTATGGTACTACGTTAATGAATTTATTAAAGTTGAAATAGGTTAGGGAAGTGGCTTACAAACATGGAAGGTAATACAAAAAAATACAATTAGAGAAGGCAGAATAGGACCATTTTGCTGAACAAATTTATGAACCAAAGAGGCACACTCTTTAATAACCCTAATAAATTTAGGTTCATTTGATTTATGTGATTAAGTTATTGTATATTACACATTAGAACTGAAAATAACTTCCTGTTTGGGCTAGTTCTTTTCCAACATGTTAGATAGTAAGTGTGTCCTGAATGTCCAGAATTTATTTTTTATGTCAAAAGAAATTAAATATGAATTTGTGGATACATTTAGTACTCTATAATATCTGTCAGTTGACTGCATATGTATTGCATTGTATATATTTTTTCTTCTGGTTAATCAATTTAGAAACAATGTTCTAAATCGTGGGTGTCAAATTTGCCACATCATGTTGCCATCATGTGACTTTTTGCAATGTTTCTCCCCCCCCCCCTCACAGAGCTGGGGTGGGTGTGGCCTGTGCGTGATGCATCTGCCCTGTGGGGTTGCCAATTTGATACCCCTGTTCTAAATGGATACCATATATTAAATTGGATAAATGTTGGTAACAATATTCTGAAATGTGCAAATCCAGTTTTATTTGGTCCGCTTTGATACAGAATTTTTCTTAAGATCTTTTTTATTTATTTTTTATTTTTGCTATACACCAGTGTGAGCAATTTATAATCTTTATGATACATCTTTCACAGTTTCCCCCTCCCCTTTTTAAGGGCACTTCTTGGTAGGCCCTCAGATCAAACAGCTGGAATTCAACAGCAAAGAGGTTTTATTGATTTTTTTTTTCAAACTGAGAAGTAAAATTGGAGAATATCCTGTCTTGTTTTTTCTTTTCATAGGATAGATCTTGTCTTAAAAGGGGTTCCTGTGCTTGGTATAGACAGTATACATGCTGGAATAAGCTGTCAACGTCTATAAAATATGCCTATTGGCCTAGTTGTTGCTTTTGGCCACTCCCTTGGAATAAACTTCTGAAATGGAGGTTCTGTAACAAATCTGTTTCTATATAACTTTGTCCCATCCCAGATGGGAATTTTAATTCATCTTAGTCATGGATTGTAGCTTAAAACAATAGCCCAGTTCTTGAAGTGCTACTGCAGATAATGGTTCTCCAAAGGTTATTTCATCTCCTTCTATTTGATAATTTTCAGTGCCGCTTGGTGACCCTATTGGATGATAACAGCCTGCATTTATGGACCCTGAAACACTCACATCATGGTACATCAGAGCTTCAGGAAGAAAGACACTTCACACTCCGTGGCCCCCCTGGGTAATTAGGATACTTCCAATCCTAGCACCTTTGGACTGCTAAGAAAGCGAACTTGCTTGACATACAGTAGATTCTTTACTGTTGATAATATAAATATAAATTTATATAAACTCAAAAGTTCTCTGAACTCTTAAGCAATTTGTTTTTTTGTGGTATAGAGAATTGTGGTATGCGTCATCTTTTGTAAACCCAGTTTTCCTCTTGGCCTTATTTGAGCAAATTTAATTTGTTATTTCATCTGAAGCAAAAGCTAGTTGTAGTATAGCAAGAAAATCAGAGGACCGTGGATACAATGTCTGAACTTAGCCTAAGCCACTGCAGTTAAAAGAATGGCAAAAGTGTGGTGCAGATTTTAAGATAGTGGTAAAGGGGGAAATATTAACAAGCATCAAAAAGTATTTGCTAGTATTTTGTTTACTATTCCTTAAATCCAGCATTGCCAAGCAGTTGGGTATCACAAAGTTCTTGCAACTTTCTATATTCATAAACCACATGGTTTTCTGTTTCATATATATTTCTCTGCCACTGACAACTCTAGAGTTTGAATTTCAGTAACTTGTCTTTGTAGCCCTTTCTGAATTCTTGCAAATAGATTTTGGATCTAATATTTATTTACATGGTACTACATGAATGTTGATTGCAATATCAAGTTCATTCAACTGAATCTTAAAATATTTTTTTTGTCCACTTCTAGTTCCCCTCCAAGTGCTACCCAAATTACAGCAATCCTGACACATTCTTCTCAAGAACTTCTGTATCTTGGTACTGAAAGTGGTAATGTGTTTGTGGTAGAACTCCCATCCTTCAGGGTGCTAGAAGACCAGCTCATCAGTCTAGAAGAAGTATTGCAAAGGTGATGTCACACACTGGGTTATGTTAGCTAATGAATTTTTTGGGATTTTGCCCTGTTTATAAATCCAACCATAGATGTGGATATAGATTCAGCAAGTCTCGATCAACATACAATCTGTCTGTATGTCATACATGAAGTCTGGAAGTTGAGTCATGGCAATTGGACTTCTTGTTGGTTTGAAACATTTTGCTGCTTTTTTAATCTGAGCAAGTTGGTCAGGAGGACCCTATATGTTTTCCAGGGAGGTTTCATTTCTTACCTAATCTGAATAGGCTCCTTATGTGAGAAGGCAGAGTTATTGGGATGTAAATGTTCTAACTCTCTGGGGAGGAGTCAAAGGCTTCTTCTAAAAACAGGGGGCATCAAGGCCTAAAGTCAGAGAGAGTAGCATTTGGGGTGGCTTATGAGTTTACACTTGTCCAGTCTTGAATAACCTAGGTGATTTACATGTTTTCAAGGTTCAGATTCCACACCATAACTACTAAAAGACTTCTGTTGTGACCATATTGTTCAGATAGGTGAAAGTACCTTAAATACACGCCAGGAAAAAAATAGACTGAATTAGATTACCTAAGTATGTTGCATTCAAAAAATGCATCAGTTTAGAAATAGAAGTGTTTCGGTGGAAGATGAACTACTTTCAGCAATTGGCCTGGAGTCTGCTGGTGAAAAAGCATGGTCTGGTTTGAGCTGAAAGCAGTGGCATTGGCAAGAAGCTTTGTGCTTGGTCTTATGATGGTGCAGAGGAAAATGGAGACCTACCAAATTTCTGTTTCTTTTGCTTGCACGGTAATGTTACATGATTCCATTTGTGTTTTCTCACAGAGTGCCAGAAGATTATCGGAGCAGGAGGTCACTGGAATTGGTAGAAGTGTTACGGGAACATCCTCGGAATCCCAAACAGATTTTGATTGGTTACAGCAGGGGCCTCATTGTTCTCTGGGATTTGATAAATAAGAAAGCAACACATCATTTACTTGGCAATCAGGTACACGTGGATTCTGAAAGTTCCAAACAAAGGCTAGGAAGTCCCTGTTTCCTTAGCTTATATAGCAAATTACAGTTTATGTTCCTCCAAATTGGTAAGCTAAAATGTGATTGGCTTGAATGTGGCTTAGTGTATTGTGTGAGACCATCTGGTGGTTGTTTTTTTTTTTTTTTTTTTTTGTAAATTACTGTGTACAGTTACTGTGGACCTGACAGATTTTACTTTAATAAACTAGGACTGGTCATTGAGTGTAATAAACAATTAAGGCATGAATGTATAGTTTACTGTATGATATGAGCAAAGTCATAGAACTCCGTGCCAGGGACATCTGGTTCGCCATTAAATATCTTTTGTCTAACAATTGTTATGACGTCCTTGCACAGTTTTTAAAAAGGAGAGCAAGAAAGAAAATGTGTTTTCCTATCCTGCAGTTTATCCTTTCAGCATTCTTCTTTTTAAAGTAGGAAATAGGAAATGTATGTTTCGTTACCACATCCAAAACATGAAAACAAACAATTCCCCCCCCCAAAAAAAATTATTATAATCAGAGTTTTATTATACCAGTTTATTAACATACCTAACCCTCAAGCTAGTCCCTAGAATATGATTTCATATTTTTCATTACCATTTTCTAATAGTGTATTAAAGTGCTTGGTTTGCTAGTTAGAATAACAGTATGATTGAACAGTCAGCAACTTGAAAAGACAAATCTTATACTAACAGGGTTAATGGAGAAATAAGAGGTCATATGGCCTATGAGGAGATGAGAGAATGTGCTGTGGAAGGAGCTCCAAATTGTTAAAAGCTGCCTTCTCTCTTTTGAACGCTCTGTTGAACTTTCTTAGTTGGCCTGATTTATCGGTTACATCATAAAAGTGAAGAAGATTGACAGCACTATTTCCACATTATCACACATTTACTCTCTCTGATGAGAATATTTGACTTCTTTCATTAGAAGGTCACACCTAGTAAGCCAGTTTGAAATAGAGAGCCCAACCGTTTCCCAAAACTCTGGGTATGGCTCCTCTCCAAAAGTTTGCACTGGCTATGTATAAACAGAAGAAATGGTTAAATCTTTCAACAGCAGTCATATTAACTGTTCAAATTACATTTGGTTTAGCTTTTGTCTTGGGCCTACTTCTTCTTGGATGTGTGACCTCTGGTGTGCCACTCAGGTAAATCTCAGATAAAGCACACTTCTCCAATTTGAAGATGAATGAATGTGCTGTGGCTTTCATGGGTCAAGAGTGCAGACTGGTGTATGCTCACCACCTTTTGTTTTGGGGAGAAAATGCAGAGTAGCACACTGGCAGCACCACCATAGCCTGAATCTGGCCAGTTCAGATTGATGGTATCTAAAGGCAAAGAGGCATACCGGAGTCAGCTCTCCTGTTAGCTCTGTGACCTGGTTCAAAGCATTAGCTACAGGAAAAAGATCCTGTTCACAACTTATAATGAACTCCAGATTTCTGTAAGGATTCAAGATAAGCAATGGAGAAATAAAGAGACTATGTTTTAAATACAGACATTCTGAGCAAATTGATCATGTTGCTGCTTCAGGATGCATCTCTTGTTTCTCTCTAGCAACTAGAGAATCTCTTCTGGATGAGGGATGGTCACCATATCATCAGTTGCCATTATGATGGGAGCTATACACAGTGGCCAATTTCAAGCGATGACAGGCAGCCTGAGCCTTTGGAAAGCAAAGTACATTACGGTTAGTATGTGGGAAGCTGGGAAGATAGGCCTTTGGCATCAGCTTTGATTCTGGTTTTATTGGAAGTCGCCTTTGGTGAAAGGGGTAGCATATATATTTGATAAATAAATTCAAAGCTTGATTTTAGAAACTCTGAACCTATAAAACGGAACATAACAGATTAGCTATTCAACGAAGGCTTGTTTGATTCAAATATCATATATGCCACCCTGAAGATATAAAAAGCAAGAAAGAGAGGGGATTGTTTAGTATCTGATCAATAACATAACAATATATTGTATAGACCTTTTTTAGAGCTTTGATTCATGTTGCTGGAGTTCCTCAAATGATGCGATAAACCGTGCCACTTGATTAATTGCGACAGGATTTATGTGTAGCTTGTGTTTTATCTGAATGATTCTATGACTAGAGACTAAAACTTGTGCCCCAAGAAGCGCTTATATTAAAACAGTTGAAAAAAATAGACTACAAATCATAGAAAACAAATTATCAGAATTGCTAGACAATTTGATGTTTAACAGCAATAGTGATTCTAACAATTTTAATAAACCTTCTGGAGATATATAGGAATGGCAGGGTTTTTTTTAGCCCTTGGAATTAATTTTTTTAAACCAGAAAATAGATGAAGGCTATTCATAGGAAACAGGATTAGCGTTTCCTTTTATCCTTCATGTTATAAAGGCAATCTGAGTATACAGTTGCTCTGCATAATTAGTTGGTGAAGCTGTGCAATTTATATGCAGTGTAGATGCTGTGTCAGCTTTACTAAAACTGAGTTTTGCAGTAGAAGAATATATGGTACAATCTTCGTAAATATTCTGTTGTAGGTCCCTTCCCTTGCAAGGCTATCTCTAAAATTTACTGGCTAACAACAAAGAATGGGTGAGTATTATGGGTGAGTAACATGACAGTGTTGCCTGTTGTCTGTATGGAGTGACTTTTTAGTAACAATAGAGGCTATTCCTGGAAACCTGTAACTGATTAAGTAACAACAATCATGTGTCCTTTTCTACATATAATAAATATTTATCCCCCCATAGGTACTTCATGGGACATTATATTCGGAAGATTTTGATGGGGGTATGGGAAAAGATGAGGAAAAAATACTATCTTAGGGTTTCGTGCTGATTGGCACCGTTAGAGGCCTTAACGCATCCCAGTGTATTTAATTGGACAAGAAACATAACATATAAAGACATTATGGCAGAATATGGCAACATGAAAACAAAGATGGAATTAGAGCAGCAGGGCAGGAATCTGGAATGGTGGGAATATTTACAGAAT